TGACACTGATAGCTTCTTCCTGAGGATGGAGGAGGGGTCCGATATCAGGGATAGTACGCATCAGGTAGTTCCAACGATGCTTGCCTCCATGGGTGAATGCAGCAAAAGCCGCATGTGGCTCTGTGTACTTCTACTACTACTACCATTTCAGTTAACACACGTCACCAACACAACCACCACCAACACTTAGATACATAAAACACATCACTAACCCAAGCAAGTCTAACTTAACCTAACCTAACCAAACCTAACCTAACCTAACCTAACCTAACCACCTCAACTAAATGTACCGTAGTAAATATATTTCAACCCGTACACCACACACATCAGATAGATAGATAGATAGATTGATAGATAGGGTTATCTTATTTTTCTTCTTCCTATACCTCCTTCCTTCTCCCACTCGCCCCTTCGTTATAAAAGATGGTGGCGATGAATATAGTGGTGTAAGTATTCTGGTAATTGTGATAGTGACGAATTTAATTTATTTTGGTGACTGACAAATGATTTTATAACGACCTCTGGTAGTGAAGAAGTATAAAATGCTTTCAATTAACCTTTTTAATTTTACACTAACTACCGCCAAACGACTTTTTTTCAGCTTCCAGGCCAAGAAAATTTGAATGAAAGCAGGAGACAAGGAATTGGGGTTAACAGAGACAAACGTGATAATCAAGAAAAACACAGTGATTAACACACGTTTTTCCATTTTGCGTATCAGTGACATATTATGCAATGCTTTTATGCAGCTTCATATTTATTGCTGAAAACACTTTATAATGAAGGTGCCATTTAGCATGAAAAATACTCGTTGGCAACACCAGGACGAATAATCATACGTCTTCACCACCAGTCATGAACCTTCCTACAGCAATGTCCTATATTTCTCAATAACATATCTCCCCACATTTTACACATCGATACTAATTAAGTTACAGACCGTCACCGATCATAATTTTAAGTAATTAACCATTTAAAGCATATCTGTCAACTATTCCCCATACAGAGTCACTTGGGGCAAACATATGCTGTTGACGGTACATATAGTGTAGGTATACAAACAATATACAGTGTAGGTATACAAACGATGTACAGTACAGGTATACAAACAATAGGAAGCGTAGGTATCCAAACAATATCTAGTGTACGTATACAATGTACAGTGCAGGTATACAATTAATATACAGTGCAGGTACAAAAGAATGTACAGTCCAGGTATACAATGTACATTGCAAGTATACAAACAATAGACAGCATAGGTATCCAAACAACATATAGTGTAGGTATGCAATGTACAGTGTACGTATACAATCAATATACAGTGCAGGTATACAATGTACACTGTAAGTATACAACCAATATACATTGTAGGTGTACAAACAATATACAGTGTAGGTATACAATCAACATACATTGTAGGTATACAAACATTATACAGTGTAGGTATACAATGTAGTGTAGTTATGCTAAAAATATTCAGTGTAGGTATACAAACACTATACAACGTAGGTATACAATGTACAGTGAAGGCATACAAACAATGTGCAGTGTGGGTATACAAGCAATGTACAATGTAGGTATACAAACAATATACAGTGCAGGTATACAAACAATGTACAGTGCAGGTATACAAACAATGTACAGTGCAGGTATACAAACAATGTACAGTGTAGGTATACACAATGTACAGTGCAGGTATACAAACAATGTACAGTGTAGGTATACAAACAATGTACAGTGTAGGTATAAAAATAATATACAGTGTAGGTATACAAACAATATACAGTGTAAGTATACAAACAATGTACAATGCAGGTATACAAACAATATACAGTGTAGGTGTACAAACACTATACAGCTTAGGCATACAAACAATATGCAGTGTAAGTATACAATGTAGTATAGGTATACTAACAACATACAGTGTAGGTATACAAACACTATACAATGTAGGTATGCAATGTACAGTGAAGGCATACAAACAATGTACAGTGTAGGTATACAAACAATGTACAGTGTAGGCATACAAACAATGTACAATGCAGGTATACAAGTAATATACAATGAAGGTATAAAAAGAATATACAGTGCAGGTATACAAACCATGTACAGTGTAGGTATACAAACAATATACAGTGCATGTATGCAAACAATATACAGTGTACGTATACAAACCATATAAATAGCAGGTATACAATGTGCAGTGTAGGTATTCAAACAATGTACAGTGGAGGTATACAAACAATGTACAGTGGAGGTAAACAAACAATGTACAGCTGCAGGTATACAAACAATGTACAGTGTAGGTATACAAACAATGTACAGTGTAGGTATACAAACAATGTACAGTGTAGGTATACAAACAATGTACAGTGTAGGTATACAAACAATGTACAGTGCAGGTATACAAACAATGTACAGTGGAGGTAAACAAACAATGTACAGCTGCAGGTATACAAACAATGTGCAGTGTAGGTATACAAACAATGTACAGTGTAGGTATACAAACAATGTACAGTGCAGGTATACAAACAATGTACAGTGGAGGTAAACAATGTAGTGCAGGTATACTAACAATATACAGTGTAGGTATACAAACACTATACAGCGTAGGTATACAATGTACAGTGAAGACATACAAACAATGTACAGTGAAGGTATACAATGTACTGTAGGTATACAAACAATGTACAATGCACGAATACAAACAATATACAGTACAGGTATACAAACACTATACAGTGTAGGTATACAAGCAACAGTGCAGGTATACAAACACTATACAGTGTAGGTATACAAACAATGTACAATGCAGGTATACAAACAATATACAGTGTAGGTGTACAAACACTATACAGCTTAGGCATACAAACAATATGCAGTGTAAGATACAAATGTAGTATAGGTATACTAACAACATACAGTGTAGGTATAAACACTATACAATGTAGTATGCAATGTACAGTGAAGGCATACAAACAATGTACAGTGTAGGTATACAAACAATGCATGTAGGCATACAAACAATGTACAATGCAGGTATACAAGTAATATACAATGAAGGTAAAAGAATATACATGCAGGTATACAAACCATGTACAGTGTAGGTATACAAACAATATACAGTGCAGGCATACAAGCAATATACAGTGTAAGACAGTGCAGTGTAGTATACAAACAATGTACAGTGGAGGTATACAAACAATGTACAGTGGAGGTAAACAAACAATGTACAGCTGCAGGTATACAAACAATGTACAGTGTAGGTAAACAAACAATGTACAGTGTAGGTATACAAACAATGTACAGTGTATATACAAACAATGTACAGTGCAGGTATACAAACAATGTACAGTGCAGGTATACAACAATGTACAGTGTAGGTATACACAATGTACAGTGCAGGTATACAAACAATGTACAGTGTAGATACAAACAATGTACAGTGTAGGTATAAAACAATGTACAGTGAAGGTATATAAACAATATATGCAGGTATAAACAATAAACAGTAGGTATACAAACATGTACAGTGCAGGTATACAAACAATGTACAGTGCAGGTATACACAATACAGTGCAGGTATACAAACAATGTACAGTGTAGGTATAAAAACCATGTACAGTGAAGGTATATAAACATATACAGTGAAGGTATACAAACAATATACAGTGAATTTATGCGATCAATATACAGTGCAGGCATACAAACAATATACAGTGTAGGTATACAAACAAAGTACAGGTATACAAACAATGTACAATGGTATACAAACAATATACAGTGTAGGTATACAAACAATGTACAGTGCAGGTATACAATCAATGTACAGTAGGTATACAAACAATGTACAGTATAGGTATACAAACAATGTGTATACAAACAATATACAGTGTAGGTATACAAACAATGTACAGTGCAGGTATACAAACAATGTGCAGGGTATATACAATGTACTGTGTAGATATACACAATGTACAGTGCAGGTATAAACAATGTATGGTATACACATGTACAGTGCAGGTATACAAACAATGTACAGTGTAGGTATACAAACAATGTACAGTGCAGGTATACAAACAATGTACTGTAGATATACACAATGTACAGTGCAGGTATACAAACAATGTACAGTGTAGGTATACACATGTACAGTAAGTATAAACAATGTACAGTAGTATACAAACAATGTACAGTAGGTATACAGACAATGTACAAGTAGGTATACAGACAATATATAGGTATACAGACAATGTACAGTGTAGGTATACAAACAATATACAGTGTAGGTATACAAACATATACAGTGTAGGTATACAAATAATATACAGGTGGTATACAAGCAATGTACAGTGTAGGTACACAAACACTATACAGTGTAGGTATACAAACAGTATACAGTGGTGGTATACAAACAATATACAGTGTAGGTATACAAACAATAAACAGTGTAGGTATACAAACAATATACAGTGTAGGTATACAAACAATATACAGTGTAGGTATACAAACAATATACAGTGGTGGTTTACAAGCAATGTACAGTGTAGGTATACAAACAATATACAGTACAATGTACACACATCTCTGGGAAGTCTTGTGCCTTCTGTCAATAAACCAACTCTTAGATCGCCTCCTCACCAAAATACTGTACACTGGCACTGTAGATCTGCCTCCCCCACACTGTTTTTCCTACACAACTTTCAACAGTTCAAAACATCTTGTTTCAAATATCTTTTATCTTTGGCAAGAGGACGCCACGGTCCACACACTGACAACAACGCCTGTCTCGGCTATTGTGCCTATGTGTATATTATCTCTGCTTTATATTATATTAAGAGACAAATAAAACTAAACTACAACTGTATCTTATTATATATATATAAAATTAAAGATAAATATATCTATACTTGCACTATAATTCTTATATTAAGTTTTCCTAATAGAGAACACACAACATTGGCGTGTTACACTGCTGGAAGCTGACTGTGGTGGCTCACCTTGTCGGCGATGTTCTCGAGGAAGCAGGTTCGATTACCGAAGCCCTCGGCGGCCAAGCATACTCTCTCCCCGATGGCGGTGCTGGACAGACACACCATGTCCTCCTGCAGGTGGAAAACTATGTTAGTCACTGAGTGAGTCACAAACAACTTCAGTCACTCCTGATACATATTATTAGTATACACTGTATAAATTAACTTCCATCTCCACTATTACAATTAACACTAATACTTTTACTATTACTAATACTTGGAGTAAAGTCTCATATCTCAATGTATACTAAACAACCTGTTCCTTAAGTCACTATACCTGTATATCTCCTGTGTGTATCTATTTCTCAATACATCTGTCTTCAGATCAACCTGACCCATTGGTCAATTATATAAATAGAGAAGAACATGTGCAGTGAAGTATTAATTTAATATGATTAATGATATCATAAACCTAAAACAAATATATAATCCATAATAAATAATAATAATAATAATAATAATAATATAATAATAATAATAATAATAATAATAATAATAATAATATTAAGAACAGAAAATAATAATATATAACAAATATAATAATAAGAATATTATTATTATATTATTATTATTATTATTATTATTATTATTTATTATTACTTTTACCTTACAAGTGGGTGTGATACAGACTAACAAGAGAGCCGTTAACTTAACAACTTGGAAAGGTGACCATAAATACCGACACACAATGCCTACAGTAATGTTGACCATCGCCCAGTTACCCAGAGCCCAGCAAACAGCACAAAGCGGCACCCAGCTGATGGAAGCACCCCCGCCGCACCCCTGGGAACCTGTTTAAAGTTGCTGACGTGAATGAAAACGCTCTGAACCGGGACATCCTCGGCAGGATTCACACACTTCCTACCATTCCCTCGTTGCTCCTACCATCTCATTTACTACAGGATTTTGGATAATAGGACAGCTCTGCGGCCTTAACGCCTTGTTGACCCTCGTGCATTGTGCTGAGGCGCACAATTGTTTATAGTTTACAATTTGGTCAGCAGTTGTTCGTTGCTACTTTACTGTCTCTCGACCACCAGGTTTTAAATGCAGGTGTCTGGTCTTGTCTCTGCCAAGGTTTTGGGTAAAATGAGTCGTTCATGTTGACTTGATGTGGACCATAATTTAAGAGGATCAGTTCGCTGTCACTATTCATTATCTACAAGGTTGTGAGAGTAATATTTTGTCATGATCCACGACACAGAAGGTCACAACATATCAAGGTGGATCCACACCTGCACAACAATGCTGGTAACATGGTCGTTAACATGCTGGAAAACACCCCGGTGAAATCATCACATAATCCTCACCAGGCAGTTTACTTGACATATTTCTGTTGGCGACACTATTGCCAACAGTAAAATTGCAAAAATTTTCGTTTAATATTCACAACATTGTTGATAACACTGATGAACAACACATGTTACCGACAATGTTGAGTTGGTGTTGATCCACCTTAATAAACGTTACATGTTTCATGTACTACTTGATGTGACACAAACATTAGGGGATTAAATTCTTGTTATTGATATGTATTCATTATTCAAGCCCAGTGTCAGCACCATTGCCAGGCGTACCGTAGGCCTACTGGTGACAATATATTCGCCAGGCGTAGGTCCACTGCGTTTGCACATCTGGTCATCTTGTTATATTGTGTCCACGTCTGCAGGACAAAGAGAAGAGTCTCGTGTCCCCACCTGCTGAACCAAGAGGTCAGCCCGCCCTGCAGCACCACCTGAGCGGCCTCGCCTCTCTAACTTGTCGCACAAGTTATTATCGTGAGGCAGGTGTCTGGGGCGACGCTGACGACTGATCAATAGTGTGGTCGGCCATTTACTGACACGCTTGATGATGCCACGTCCCTCTGTCTCTATCTCTCCTATAAGTGATATAACTTTGCTTGAAAAAATACTGAGAATATCGATTGTTTTGCAGTAACGATACAGTGAGACCTCAGAGAGAGACTGGGAGAGTGAGACACATCTTAAGTAGCAGGATACATGCATTGGTGAGGTTGTCGAGGACAATATACAGTGTTTACCAGCAGTGTAGAACATGTCTGCCACCCCTCAGATCAGTGTCTATCTCCTACCTGAATGTGTGAGAGGATTAGCTTCCCTTCTGGGCGACCCTACACCGCCCCCTACCACCACACCCCCTGACACCACATCTGCCCCTGACATCACACCCGTCCTCTACCACCACACCTCCCCCTGACACAACTAACCCGCCCCTACCACCCACCTGCCCCCCTGACACCACATCTACCCCTGACATCCCACCCGTCCTCTACCACCACACCTGCCCCTGACACCATATCTGCCCCTTACATCACACCGTCCTCTACCACCACACCTGCCCCCTGACACCACATCTACCTGACATCACCACCTTCTACACCTGCCCCCTGACACCACATCTACCCCTGACATCCCACCCGTCTTCTACCACCACACCTGCCCCTGACATCACCTCCACCACACTGCCCCTGACACCACATCTACCCCTGACACCACCGTCCTCTACCACCACCTGCCCCTGACACCACATCTACCCCTGACATCCCACCCTCTTCTACCACCACACCTGCCCCTGTGACACACACCCGTCCTCTACCACCACACCTGCCCCCTGACACCACATCTACTGACATCCCACCCGTCTTCTACCACCACACCTGCCCCCTGACACCACATATGCCCCCTCACATCACACCTGTCCTCTACCATCACACACACCCCCTACACCACATCTGCCCCCTGACATCACACCGTCCTCTACACCACCTGCCCCTGACACCACATCTACCCCTGACATCACACCTGTCCTCTACCACCACACCTGCCCCTGACATCACACCTCGTCCTCTACCATCACACCCGTCCTCTACCCACACCGTCCTCTACCACCATACCCGTCCTCTACCACCATACCTGTCTCATACCACCACATCTGCCCCATACCATAACCCCCAACCACAAACCTGCCTCTACCAACACACATCCGGGCAAGGTAAGATATCACTGCAGGAGTTAATTAAGACCTTGAACCTCTTGGTGGTGACAGGTTCATGTGGTGGGAGAAAATTACCTTCTCCAGTTTATTCTCTCTTAGTCTTAATGGTCAATGTAATGGAGTCTTAGATGTAACAGTCTTATGGAGGATCACGTAATGGAGTCTTAGGTGCAACAGTCTTATGGAGGATCACGTAATGGAGTCTTAGGTGAAACAGTCTTATGGAGGATCACGTAATGGAGTCTTAGGTGAAACAGTCTTATGGAGGATCACGTAATGGAGTGTTAGGTGAAACAGTCTTATGGAGGATCACGTAATGGAGTCTTAGGTGAAACAGTCTTATGGAGGATCACGTAATGGAGTCTTAGGTGTAACAGTCGTATGGAGGATCACGTAATGGAGTCTTAGGTGAAACAGTCTTATGGAGGATCACGTAATGGAGTCTTAGGTGAAACAGTCTTATGGAAGATCACGCAATGGAGTCTTAGGTAAAACAGTCTTATGGAGGATCACATAATGGAGTCTTAGGTGTAACAGTCTTATGGAGGATCACGTAATGGAGTCTTAGGTGAAACAGTCTTATGGAGGATCACGTAATGGAGTCTAAGGTGAAACAGTCTTATGGAGGATCACGTAATGGAGTCTTAGGTGTAACAGTCTTATGGAGGATCCGTAATGGAGTCTTAGGTGAAACAGTCTTATGGAGGATCACGTAATGGGTCTTAGGTGAAACAGTCTTACGGAGGATCACGTAATGGAGTCTTAGGTGTAACAGTCTTATGGAGGATCACGTAATAATGGAGTCTTAGGTGAAACAGTCATGGAGGATCACGTAATGGAGTCTTAGGTTTAACAGTCGTATGGAGGATCAATAATGGAGTCTTAGGTGAAACAGTCGTATGGAGGATCACGTAATGGAGTCTTAGATGAAACAGTCGTGGAGGATCACGTAATGGAGTCTTAGGTGAAACAGTCTTTGGAGGATCACGTAATGGAGTCTTAGGTGAAACAGTCTTATGGAGGATCACGTAATGGAGTCTTAGGTGAAACAGTCTTATGGATCACGTAATGGAGTCTTAGGTGTAACAGTCTTATGGAGGATCACGTAATGAGTCTAGGTGAAACAGTCTTATGGAGGATCACGTAATGGAGTCTTAGGTGAAACAGTCTTATGGAGGATCACGTAATGGAGTCTTAGGTGAAAACAGTCATGGAGGATCACGATTGAGTCTTAGGTGAAACAGTCTTATGGAGGATCACGGAGTCTTAGGTGAAACAGTCTATGGAGGATCACAATGGAGTCTTAGGTGAAACAGTCTTATGGAGGATCACGTAATAGAGTCTTAGGTGAAACAGTCTATGGAGGATCACGAATGAGTCTTAGGTAACAGTCTTACGGAGGATCACGTAATGGAGTCTTAGGTGAAACAGTCTTATGGAGGATCACGTAATGGAGTCTTAGGTAACAGTCTTATGGAGATCACGTAATGGAGTCTTAGGTGAAACAGTCTTATGGAGGATCCGTAATGGGTCTTAGTAGCAGTCTTATGGAGGATCACGTAATGGAGTCTTAGGTGTAACAGTCTTATGGAGGATCACGTAATGAGTCTTAGGTGAAACAGTCTTATGGAGGATCACGTAATGGAGTCTTAGGTGAAACAGTCGTATGGAGGATCACGTAGAGTCTAGTGAAACAGTCTTATGGAGGATCACGTAATGAGTCTTGTGAAACAGTCTTATGGAGGATCACGTAATGGAGTCTTAGTAAACAGTCGTATGGAGGATCACGTAATAGAGTCTTAGGTGAAACAGTCTTATGGAGGATCACGTAATGGAGTCTTAGGTAACAGTCTTATGGAGGATCACGTAATGGAGTCTTAGGTGTAACAGTTGTATGGAGGATCACGTATGGAGTCTTAGTAAAAACAGTCTTATGGAGGATCACGTAATTGAGTCTTAGGTGAAACAGTCTTATGGAGGATCACGTAATGGAGTCTTAGGTGAAACAGTCTTATGGAGGATCACGTAATGGAGTCTTAGGTGACACAGTCGTATGGAGGATCACGTAATGGAGTCTTAGGTAAAAAAGTCCTATGGAGGATCACGTAATGGAGTCTTAGGTGAAACAGTCTTATGGAGGATCACTTTAATAAGACTCAAATATTTTATTCCGTGTCTCCTGTAATGTTATTTATGAGATATATTAACATGGTATAATTGTATTTTCCTTTCTATATTTTTTTTTAAAACCATTCACTTATTTATTTATTATTTTATTTTTATTTTGTTTATTTTTATTTGTTTGTGTGTGTGTGTTAGGGAATCTCTTAATTGGTGTGTCTAGGCTAAAATGAGGGCCTACCTGGGTGGTTTGGGGCGTTATAATCATTATTACTATTTTCGAGGACTCTAAGGTATTGAGGTGGAACAAATGACGTGTCACACAGGGAGAGAGAGCCATCTGTCTCGCCCGCTGCCTCACTCAACACCCAAAACTATCATGACCCACACACTGTGACCCCTGCTGTGTGTGTGTGTGAGTGTGTGGACTGTCAATATCAGTGGACTGTCATTCCAGTGACCTGTCCGTCACATTGGACTGTCTATATCAGTGGACTGACAGCCACAATAGCTAGTAATTTAAGTGAACTTTCAGTCATAGCGGACTGTCAGCCACAATAGACCGTCATTCAAGTGAACTGTCAGTCAGAGGGGACTGTCAATCACCACAAACTGTTATTTACAGCAGAATCTCACGCCAAATAAGAACAAATTTCGTAAAATCAACATACTGTTTATACACACACACACACACACACATATATATATATATATATATATATATATATATATATATATATATATATATATATATATATATATATATATATATATATATATATACTGTATATATATACATATATATATATATATTTATATATA